ACTAGGTATTCTATACATAGACAATACGTGCTGGACAAACAGGTTTACAACACATTACATCACATCCGCTCAGTACCTTACTCGCATTTACGCGTGCTATTTCCGCGCGCGCGCTAAAAGTTTTGCCGCAATGCGTGACGTACAAAATTACACGGAAGGCTGATTTCCGTTACATACGAACGCGTATAGCTAAATACCACAAATATATTAAAAGTAATAATGACAAATAATGACACTACTACATCTATACTTATTTACTTATATCTATATTTCAACGAGGGTAAAGAACAAGGTTAGTTACAAAATATCAATCTTCTTCGTAGAGCCACATCACTTAGGCATTTGACTAAGTTCACTTCCGGTTTTGAGGGCTGAAAAACATCAGAAAATATGTATTCTGTTTATGTCATGTTTCTGTTAATATCATGTTTTTCTCTGACAAATGGGAAGTGATATTAAGAGAAATCTATTGTACTTGCCACCATATCTCTTTGTCAAATTTAAATGCTTCATTTAATTTTTTCCGTGGCCATTATTCAATAGAAATTGCTCATATCTCTACAGTACTACTACCGTTAGTGCAGGCAAAGTCGTCACCTTAGTAAGGGTTTCAGTTAATAATTTGTCCAAATACAGATGCATCAAACTGCCGAAGAGTGCAAGTACAGAAGAAGATTTGACTGAAATGCCTATAAATGACAGTGCTTAAAGGTGCAGGCAGTTTCGCCTCATTCAGACATTTCACTATTTTGCAAGTAATATGTTTAAATGTAACAATTTTGTATGTTTATGTTACACAAGTCGTATTACAATGTAATACCAGGGGCAGGGACGTATAATGTCCCTGGCAATACAAACACCTCCAAATGTGTGTGTGTAACAATGATTAACATTGAAATAAATGACTTCTCTAAGTTGTGATAGCACGGACTTAGATAATCTAATTCCGTGGTAATAATAATAATAAAAATAATAATAATATTTATTCATGTAAAAGGCAAATAATACACTTCTATCACATTTTGCAGATTGGACATAAATATATATATATTATCACAGAAAAAGATCTTCTTTATAAGTTATTTATGCCATTAGACCAGAAGTCAGTCAGGTGTTAAAACTGGATTGGATTAGATTAATTTAGGCCTTTACCTGGGATGACCCATAAAGCCACATTGTGGCTTAATCTATTCCATTGGGGTCCCTGGGGTGGTGATAGTTAATAATGCTGTTTGACGAGTAAGATGGGTTGGTGATTACTTTCATTCTGTTATATGTGCTCTCGTTATAAAAGTCCTTTGGAGGTCATGTCCAATGTCATATATATGACAGAAATTCAAGAAATACATCTTGTCTTTTTTTACATACAACTGGGCTATGTTTCATATTACTAGTGTGCACCCTTCGACTATTTCCACTACAAGTTTCGTGTATCAATACACAGCGATATAGTTCTATACACTCATGAATGAAATACACTTTAAAGTGTTATGTTTACTCACTCTAATGAATTCAGTATATTAGATAATACTAATACTTTGGGGTTTTTCTGTTAAATCATTTCTAAAAATCCAACGATGTGTACATTGTTATAACTACGGAAATAAGACATATTCGTACGCAGAGAGTTCCGGTGCTTTTCAGATCGGTTGTCACACCAGCAAACCGACAAGATGACGAAAGTATCTACATGGGCTTACAAAAATTTGTTTTCTAAATCGTCAACATTTCTTGCGACAGCATGTTTTGCTGCAATAGTTTTCGAGACCTTCTGGAACAGAGCGGCTGATAGAACGTTTGACCGCATAAACAAGGGGGTAAGTTTACTTACATGACCCCATTTGTCCTTCACAATATCTGCTTACCGGCTATTCCCCTGGTTGCCAGATACGAATTCCAAGGATTGTAAAAGGATCTTACAAATATGAATGATAGGAAATACGTATTTCCTTTGTGTGAACGCATAGAGACGTGCTGCATTGAACCCAAAACACCTACAGTGAACGATTCAATCTGTTTAAGCTTGCATAACCTGATAACAGGTTGGGCACAACATTCCATACTCGCGTCACCTATTTTGACGAACTGGTTAATTGTTACCGGAACTGCTGACAGGCGGAACTTTGGTCCAGATCCGTATGTCATCCATCAGTATGTGTATATACCCAATCGATACGATGACCGAGTTCAGATTTGAATAACGGAGAACTTGTCTGTGAGAAGCCTGGTTTTATCAGGTCCAGTACACTCTCAGACTCTGCCACAGCTAGCTGTAGAGACCTTATATATACTTGCTCTATTGACCTATCTGAAATAGGTCTTTTGATTATTTATCTTTTTATGCAGCTTGTATATTCTTAATCTGCCTCAGCAATCAGCACATCAGCAATAAGAATATATTTAAACAAATAAGTGATTTTTTTTTCCAAAAATTAAAAAAAAGGAACATATTCAAAGTGATTCGATTTATTTTTGTTTTTATTTACAATGACACAAAGCAATAAGATTATTGAATTTTTCGATACTTGTGGATTTCAGGACTACAAATACATTCTGTTCAATATAAAAGATGTTGTTATCTAGGCCAACAAACTTAACACTGAAAATAACATGAGAAAAACGAAATAAAAATGTCAGATAACAGCAAATTTACAGTTAACTTATTAGTATGGAAAATTATCTTGATCATGGACTCCACACACAGTTGGTGTCACTAAACATAACAAAATATATGGTGCAGCATGTCCGAGTGGAAATGGTGTTTACTGGGCATTTTATGTGTCAAACAATTCATAAAAATAAGGTGACTCATGAAAATGGATGTCAATGCCATACTTTAAATTAATAATCCTGATTTGGGAACTAAAGTAGCGAACAGTTTCTCAATTGTTTACAGAAACAATTTTATTACTTAAATGGGGAACAAAATGAGAGAGAAAAAAGACTTTTTAAAATTACGGAACTAAATTAATTCTTGACTTTTTGTTGAAACATGAGTTTGACAAAATTTCAACAAAAATCATGTTTTTAAAATTTTGTACATATTGGATAAGTAACATTCTAAGAATTTCCCATCGGCTCCATCAGTGGAGCGTGCAGAGCTGGCAGAGAAGCTTGATCCTCCGGTGGTAGTACATTACCCTCGAGCTCTCTACTGTTACACACTATAAATGGACCAAAAGATATATTCTTGTTCATAATTTCGCTTAATAAATTTAAAGGGGGATATACTAGTACTATATGTATTATACTGAAACATACAAAACTTCTCAAAATGACGTATCATAATCGGTAGAGAAGTTTCCTCATTGAGAATGAAGACTGGCAGGAGCCCAGAAATTTTCTGCAATGAGTACAATTCAAGACATTTCAATGTTTGACAAATCAAATTGAAATAATGAATTGATAATTTCATTTATAAATTTGATCTTTGTATCGGGCAACTACAGTAAAGTTTATTGAAGGATTCCTAGCATTTTATAGGCTGTCGTAGGTTAAAGGGTCTAAAATTTGGATTGTCACTCAGTAAAGGATAATTGTAAGTTGTCATATTACTATGATAATTTCAACAGTGTCTTTGATAACGTGACTAGTGTGTCAATAGATTTATAAATCATTGATGAATATTGAGAATTAGAAATATAAATACATTCTCGTTTGCTGATGCTTTTATTATGTTAGTATATTTACTATGACATGTCTTTTTTACATGAAGAAACGGTGATTTTTGAAAATTTTGGGACTCTAATATTTCAGTCCGTACTCCTGGGCTCGTGCATTTCCGGCGGAACTCCCAAACTTTTCGAGGACCAATGCAATATCTCTTAGTAGTGGAAATCTCAAAAATTTTGGAAAGGATATTCTAGGCTCTCCTGAAAAAAATCCTACAAAAAGTACTGAGAACTGTTATTATCTATTAAAACAGATTAAAAGCAAAAATGACAAAATACTTTTAACGACATAATAGTATCTAAGGTATAGGAACCCAGTCCCCAGGTAATGTTTTTTGTCATATTAAAGTAGGAATTAAAAGAATTTATCTAAACAGGTTAGAAGTGTGTGCCGTCTCTATCTGATATCCAAAATGAATACATGGAAATTTAAATTGGGTGTCTGACTTTAAAATCATTGATTATTAAAATAGTGTGTCCAAGTTTTTCCAAAATCAAAATACTGATTTGAACATTCGACAGGTAGACTTGTTTATCTGGTGAAATCTTATTGAAAAAACACAGGATTTGGCTATTAAATTCAAGTTCAGCAGTACTAGTCCCCCGGTATACCACCCCTCGGTTCTTTTGCTAACCCTGCATACCACCATGATTTTGTAAGAAACAATTTCGCTTACTATATGAACCCTGTCAATACTGTCACCTCCCGCATATTGCCATCCGCCAACTATTTTCAAATACAAAGCTGTTTTATCCCCAACCAAATTGCCGTTGATTATTTACATTTTTGTATGATACTGATAGGTAATTGGTTAATATATTTGTTTGCCTCATAGATGAATTTTCCTAGTAGACACAATTCTAAATCTTTAATATTATGGACACTCAATAACTGAACAACTTTAAACACAGATGCTTTTTTTTCAATAATAGCTTTTGATAAAACAGGATCTGATATTTTAAAATTTAGAACAGACCAATAAAAAATTCAATCTGATTAAAATCATATGTTACATGGCTTCGTTAACTTCGTACTACGCCTGAACATCTGAGTGTGCGATCAGGGTCACGTTCAGGTGACCTTTATATTTATAAATACTCATTAAATTTTGACCAATCAAAGACCCTCTTTCAAAAGGGGGCTCGGAGTTGTAACAAATATGGCGGACATTGATGAGAATGATGCAAAAGTTATTTGAGATTGAACAATCTGAAACCCGAACAGAAAAAGACATTCAAAGCTTTATTAGAGAAGAAAGGCTGTATGGCGGTGTTGCCTCCGCAATTATTACCCAATTCGTACGTTTTCCTTGGCGTCGGAGAAACGTCAGTTCCCGTCGCCATATTTGTTTTGAAAAACTAATCTGTTCGATACCCCTCGCTATTTATTTATCAACCATGATATTCAAATTCGCTGGCAAACTTTTGCCAGCGCGCCTATGATTGGTTCATCTAAAGGTCACTTGAACGTGACCCTGACCGCGGCACATTCAGATTTTTAGGCGGAGCCATGTAACAGATGATTTTAATCAGATTGTAAAAAATTAAATTTGTCCTCTATTTCGGAGGGGGAGTTACACTGTGTACAATATCTACATTCTCTAGGTGTATTATTCTACCTTCCAACTTCTACAGTCAAAGAATGGGTAGATGTACAGATTCGAGTTAAACAAATGTAATATATCTTTGGTACATATTTTGTGAGGTAACATTGTAATGATTCTCCAAAATCTATATGTTTATGCAATTAACATTTTGGAGAGACTTTTCTGAGTTTTCCACGGTGGCCCTTAGGAATTGTATGCTTTGATAAAAAAATCTTTGTTTTATCAATGGTAATAACAAATTTTGCTGAGAAATTCATGGATTTATGTATTTAACCAAACATCACTAAGACATAGATCATTTAATTCATCTGTTAGTCTTACTGCTATAGCCCTATATTTCTACTACAGTGTATACAACATTGTAATAAAAATATACAATTTTCAGATTTTCAGATCTTAAACCAATATTTTATCATTCTAATTTTTTCATCCAAAATAGAGGTATACATAGAGAGTAAGAAAACATTACTCTCCTCATGTGTTTTTATTGGTTGTTTGTACATAAAATTGAGTTTCATATTTTATTTTCATATTCTACTGCCATGAGCACATCTATAAGCTGCGAAACATATTCAGCTATTTTTTGATTAATACCTCACATGACTATATAATGTTAGCCAAATAATGCATGATTGTTGAAATATTGAATACCGAAATTAATCAACTCTTTATGTTTAACGAAAAACAAAAAATGCCATGACAGTTCACATGTGATTATTTCTCAATTCCCATTACTCTCTATATGGCCTGAATGACCAAATATGGTACAACTACTTGTGCCGCCATGTTTACTACTATTTCCATTTTTGGTCATGGCACCAATAGGTGTAGTAGGTTTGTTGTAAAACTGATACAGTGTTGCAAAATTATTCCGCCCTTGTGCTCACACTATTTTCTCGCTATTTCAGAGACAATGGAAGGACATCAAGCATTTATACGATGACGAGTAGATCCCTCAACATAGACATGTTTTTATGGAGTGAAAGTCGTGTGATTGAAGAGTCAACTCAAATTTCAACCAACACCAGGACATCTGAGGAAGAAAAAATGCCATTCTAGAACAAGACCAAAATGTATCCGAGGCTGAATGTAACATCTATGAGCCAGAAGACCACATCAAAGAAAACATCTCAGATTATTCGTAAAAACAAATTGAAGGAGAGAACTTGAAAGTTGAACCACTTGAGTGTTGTTTTCAAAACATTAATAATTTAATTTGAAAAACTATTTTTCAAACTGAATTAGAATACTTCGTAGGAGTGTTTTGATAAGTCATTGTGTAGCACAAAAAACAGTATTTATATTGTGTAATATTAGATCTTTGTGAGATGTGGCAAGACATTTTTTGTTTTCAATTATAAATTTATTGGAAAAAAATGAATTCTTCTAGTTTTCATTATTCATGGAAAATGTCATGAGTCAAGAGTTAGGCTGCCAATACACATAGAAATTCCTTTTATAAGAAAATCTACTTCCCTGGTATTAACATACCACAGGTACTAGCCTCATCTGTCAATACACTCATGATAAAATTATAGTTGTATTGACAGACGAGGCTAGTACCCATTCAGTACATTGAAGCATTATTTTTATATATACGTAGTAAAGATACCATTATGTCAAAAATAGACTGTGTAATAGGAAGAAGTGTTTGCTGTAGTTTAGCTTTCCCCCCCCCCCCCCCCCCACCTCCTCCCCTCTGTAACGAGGGTGAATACATTGTCATAGTGAATTAGAACTACACTGGGGGAATACAGATTTTCCCAGTGAAGGGCGAAAGTTTCACAATATTATACAATTACAGACTTCAGGTGAGGTTTATCCCTGATTTACTGTCCGTAAATTATTGGTCTGAACAATATTTCCAGGTGATTATTGTTCAGACCACAGGTCAGTAAATCAGGGATAGGCCGAAACTGAAGTCCACAATTGTTTTATTATATGACATTTTACAATGAGATTAATAATTTTTCAAGACCTAAACACAAGGATGGCATGGAACATTTTGGAATCACTGAGTGAAGGACTTCAAATACAAAATAACATACACAAAAATTGAATTTCAGATTCAATTCATGTGATTTTTAATTTCAAGTTAATATAATTTGCACAATCGACATCATCAATATTCACAGAGTTCAGAATTTGATGAGATAATTAATTTATAGTTGAATTCAGTAGTGTGATTAGTAACATAATTACAGACTGGCTGGGAAATACCTAGGCCTATTTTAAGCAGCGGTCTGTAATACTTTTCTATTAATAGATCGAGGTCTGTAACACTTTTCTATTTATAGGTCGAGGTCTGTAACACTTTTCTATACTTAGCATGAGGTCTGTAACAGATAATTTGATTGCATTTGGCTGTTAGTTGATGTCTGGGAAATAACCTAGGCCTTTTTTAGTAGCGGTCTGTAACACTTTTTATGCCGCCACCATAAAATGGGGGGCATATATTGTTGCCCATGTCTGTCCCATCCCGTCCTGATTCAATGTAAACACCCGTCCCGTCCCGATTCAATGTAAACACTTCGCAACTTTATTCTTTGACAGATTTTGGTCAAACTTTATACAAAGGTGAAGTATGAGTATACTTTGGACATCGTTGTGTTTCAGGGATCCAAGGTCAAGGCCAAGGTCACACTTGCTATATATAGAAAATCAACTGATTCAATTTAAATACTCAGCAACTTCATTCTTTCATGGATTTTAGTCAAACTTTATGCAAAGGTCAAATATGGGTATACCTCTGACATCCTTGTGTTTCAGGGTTCCAAGGTCAAGGTCACACTTGCTATATATAGAAAGTCAACTGATTCAATTTAAACACTACGCAACTTCATTCTTTCATGGATTTTAGTCAAACTTTATGCAAAGGTCAAATATGGGTATACCTCTGACATCCTTGTGTTTCAGGGTTCCAAGGTCAAGGTCACACTTGCTATATATAGAAAATCAACTGATTCAATTTAAACACTATGCAACTTCATTCTTTCATGGATTTTGGTCAAACTTTATGCAAAGGTCAAATATGGGTAATGGTATACCTCTGACATCCTTGTGTTTCATGGTTCCAAGGTCAAGGTCACTGTTGCTATATATAGAAAATCATCAGCTGACTCAATTTAAACATTTAGCAACTTCATTCTTTCACAGATTTTGGTCAAATTTTATGCAAAGGCCAAATATGGGTATACCTCTGACATCCTTGTGTTTCAGGGTTCCAAGGTCAAGGTCACTGTTGCTATATATGGAAAATCATCAACTGATAAATTCAATTTAAACACTTAGCAATTTCATTCTTTCACAGATTTTGGTCAAACTTTATATAAAGGTCAAATATGGGTATACCTCCGACATCCTTGTGTTTCAGGATGGTAATAACATCAGAAAAAAAATATGAATATTAAAATCAACTGATCAACTTTAAGTGAAGTACCTTGTGCGTGTGTGCATGTTTCAGGGTATCAAGATCAAAGTGGTTGTAACTTTTTATAGAACACTGAAACTAATTTCACATGGCAGCGCAGGCATTTATGTTGAGATTGTGTTATAGACAACGATATGCAGTAATATAAAAATAATAATATAATCTTAATAGTAAAACTGTTAATCACTTAATTATACCCCTCGCAACGAAGTTAGGGTAGTATACTGAAATCAGCTTCTCCTTCTTAAGTAATGGACCAATTTCAACAAAAGTTCCCAGATATGATAACTACCACCTGAAGTTTTGCATGCAGGTATAATTATTTTCATTCTGACCTTTGTTTTTCAAAGTTATAGCCCTTTGTTGAAAAATCCTTGTCCGGACATGCCGTCCAAAACCAAGGGGCCAATTTCAACGAAACTTTTCAGATATGATAACTACTACCTGGTGTTGTGCATACAGGTATTGTTTTTTCAATCTGACCTCTTTTTTACGGAGAAATGACCCTTTGTTAAAAAATACTTGTCCAGACAACTCTTCCAAAACTATGGCGCCAATTTCAACAGAAGTTTATAGATATGGTAACTGCCCCCTGACATTGTGCATCCAAGTAGTACGTTTTCATTCCGACCCTTTAAGAGGAGTTATGGCCCTTTATTGAAAAAAAACTCTGTCTGCCTCATAAACTACAGGGCAAATTTCCATGAAAGTTTACAGATATGGTAATTACCCCCTGATGTCGTGCAGAATTTGGTATGTAAGAATGTTTGGCATTGGGAGGGAGTACAGGAAGTAAGTCAGTGACCTATATACTTAAATGATAACCGATGGGTGACTGGATTGCTTTACAATGCTTTGTCTTAGTTAGCCCTTTACTTACAGTTCTGGTTTATATAGGAGCGGGTGGTATTAGTTAACCTTTGGCTTACAGTTCTAGTTATTATTTTATTTTGCCTATCGCCCATACACTTATCAATATATGAAGGAATATTACATTATTTTATATCGATAACTCAACAAATAAAGCAAGGAAAGATATCCTTGTCTGACTCCCCATACACACACTTTATCCTAGCAAATTTGATTTTGTGACCTTGAACAAAGGTCAAGGTCATCAATGTTTACAAAACTTAAATCCATTCACATGAACAACCTACTTGCCAAATATCAATACCCAATGACCTTTGGTCATGAAGAAACACAACTTAAAGGAAAAGTGGAAAGAAAGCTATGTTTTCCTTTTTTTTTGAATCAAAAGTGTTATATGATAAATTTTCTGGTTGTCATTTTTTTTGAAATTCCTAGTGTTGAAAGTTATTATTAATAGCCAACTTTCAAGCAAGTATGAAAACTAGACTGGTTTTAAAACTATGTAAATGAACGTGTCAAAAAAGGAAATTTTCTCATTAGTAATGAAATTTCACATACTTTTCTGCTTTAATATTCAATAAAGAGAACAATTCTTTCTTGAAATATTGTAATATTTGGTATCAAAATAACAGTTGGAATATATTGCACACGATGATGATATTATTTCAAGGTAATCGGGTCATTAAAATGCTCTAGGAGGAATTGTATTACCGCACCTTTAACACCCACACATGTGTAAGTCAATGAGGTCCCATTTGTCATAAAATCAATTCTGAAAATAACTGTTCCTGATTTAAGCTTCCTATACCCATACTTTTTTGTATTTATATTGTTTTGAAATTCCAAGCGGTGGCCGATGCTAATGTTAAATCTCCATAAGCGTTGACCCTACCTTTTAAAATAATCAAATGAACTGTGTAAACAGCTTGACAGATGAAAGATATTAAACTTATTAATTTCAGCTTTATGATAATATATATAATCAATATAAGATTTATTCAGGTTCTCATCTGTTGAATTCTATTTAACTGTTGAAGTTCTGCCATTATTGATATTAGGTCGGAAAACACCACTTTTTATCTTTCAAATGTTGTAAAATATTACTGAAGGGGTACTAACAAATGGGACTATTGGAAAATAGTTGATTAAGTGCTTCTCCAAAGCATTATTCCATAAAAATCACAATACATTTTACAGAATTATATTGTTCGAAATAAGAATGGTTGAAAATAGAACTGGGGAAAAAAAGGGAAAAAAAACCCTGCAGGTGTCAAACTCGGGATCTTTTTATTGCAAATCCTACATTGTAGTGTTTGCTGCTGTTGTGATCCAGGAAATATAAAGGCATGGTACCAAAAAGAGAAACTGCTTCATATTCTATATGGAAGGGAGACAACTCCAGGTGAAAAGCAATCTTGAGTGGAACTCTTTGATTACAACTGATGCAGTGGTACCCTTAACCTTAAAACCAACAGACCACTATGTGGGGAGATTATCTCCCCTTCATATACTATAAGGGAATCTAGATCCGTCACTTTGTCAATATAAGCTGTATAAAGTTCTGAAAACATGCATTGAACAGTAGTGTCAGCATCTTAGTTTTCACCTCCAATTGGTTGTAGGGCTGTTGTTGATACATGTAGAACCTAAGTGCTGTTGTGACCTATGTGTTAACATGACTTTCATTCATCCATCCGGCATCAGATTTATGTTTGAGAACAGTGAGATTTAGAGAATTCGTACTACGTCTGTAGTATTCTAAGATGAAAGGCTTCCAAATTTGGTCAATTGAACGACTTTAACCCACCTTGAAGATCTGTCGCCAGAAGAGAAGTTATATATTACCTTAGCTTGTAGCTTGCACGAAGAACTGTAGTAACAGATGTAGTTTCATACCAAATCTAGTTACTCCATGGCCAGTTGAAGTAGTATGCCCTGGACAAGCTTTTCACAAAGGTTAAGGTCAAACCAGAGGTCACAGTGACCTACTTTTTTGCTTGACACTTTGCCATCTAAAGGTGTACTTGCATACCATCTAGTTGCTCAAGATGAAATGTATAGAATAATATTCACTGGAT